GTGTCCTCTGGCCACGGGGGGGGCCCCTAGCCGACGCAACTAGTTTGGGCGTCGCCTCTGGATGGACTGGCGGCGGTGCGCGAAGCGCCACGCATTCAATGAGCATGCACACTTCCACTTCGAGCTGAAGCAGCTTGGCGACGCCAGCGTCGCGAGCTTCATGCTTCTCAGAAAAAAAAAAACCAGCCACCTCGTCGACCACCTCTTGCGGCAATCCGAAAAACACATTCTTGTCTACGACAGTGAGCCTCAACGGCGTCTCGTCAAAACGCGTGAACACATACAGGGCGTGCAGAACACCGTGGGCGCGAAAGGCCTCGTCTGCAATGCGGTGGATCTGAGCTCGCATGCTGTAGACATAGGCGATCCACGCAGCGGCTGCAGTCAGCTCTGCTTTCGATGCCAGGGTGGCCTCTGGAACGCCAATCCGTTCAGCATGTGACGAGAGTGTCTTGGCAGTCAGCCACGCCCCCTCCCGCCCGACAATGTCCGCCACTATTTTCACCGCATCGGGGTTCGTGGATACGACCATCTGGCATTTCTTGAATGCCTGGCAAATCGTGGCAAAGGCAAGTTCGGTTCGCCGATGCCGCTCTTCCGACGGCGATGGCCCCTCGGGGCCCACAGGAATCGCCACCGCCAGGACGTCGCCTGCGGGCCCTGCTGCTGGGGCCTGTGCGGGTCGCAAACCTTCAGACGAGATTGTGGTGCGGTTTCGTAACAAAAAACCCTCCACGCCATCCCCCCCCTCCCCCGCTCCTCGCGTCTCGCTCGTCCTCGCCATTCCTCGTTGCCCCGTCCGCCCCTCACCAGCACCGTTCCGCGTCGTCCCTCTCTCCCCCTCATCATTCGGCAGATGTTTCCTCGCATCCCCCTCATGCATCATCCATGCCGCGCCCCCGTCACAACCCTCATCGTCGCTCTGCTGTTCATGAGTTTGCCCCCAGTGCCGTCCACTTCGCGCCTCCCCGTCATGGCGTTGCGCCTCTTCCCTTCGCCTGTCGTCCAGAGCCCCCCCCCGTCGCCCTCATCGCCGCCCCCCTCCTCCGAGACCTCCTCCCCCCCAAACCGTCATCCTCCCAGCCTCACCGCCCATCCCCCCTGAAGGTTTGCGACCCTGTCATTGTGGCCCCACGGGGGCCTCGTCGCCAGGGGGAGCTGCGCCCGCTGCTGGGGCGCCCCTCAAGACTCCTCTGGCGCGCGAGCCGCTCTCAACCCAGAGACGGCGAAGCTGGCTGGGCGTCTCGGCCAACGGCGGGCCCAGCAGTGCAATCGGACCTGGAGCGCCGTCAGGAGCTGCCGCCGCCGCCCCAGCGGCGCCGTGCGGCACAGGTGCCACTGGGGCCGCGCCACCAGCGGCCGCGCCAGGACCAGGAGCGGCGACGCCGCCTGGCACGTCCGCGCCAGCGGCGCCGTGGGCAGCGGCTCCGTCGTCGGGCGAGCCGTCGCCCGCCCACTCGCCCCAGCGGGCGCTCTCGGAGCCGCTGTCCTCGTCGACGGCCGACTCAGCGCCCCACTGATCCCAGCATCCCTCCTCCTCCATGCCAGCGATGGCCGAGGGCACGCGCTCGGCCACTGCGGACACAGCGTTGGCGACACACTCTGGCGAACACGGGCCCGAAATGGCATGGCAACGGAACGGGTTTGAACAAATGTCAACGGATGGAGGGGAGGAGGCTCGGAAAGCAGATGTATTATAGGAGCAGGAGGAGCAAGGGGAGGCATCGTGGACCTGTGCACGCCCATCGGGCGAGGCCATCCCTCGAACGCGGCGCCAGCACATCTCTTGTCATCTCTAGATCCCGCCGCGGACGTATCTTCTGGACACGGCTCGGACACCAGCAGTCGGCCACGGGCGAAACAGTGAGAGAACGAGCACCACCGACAGTCTTCGAGCAAGCACCGCACCGTTCTTCGAGACACCCATGGCTATCAGAAGGAGGATTATACACGGCAGTGGTTGTTTACTTAACAACCCAGGCTGGAAGCATGCCCAAACAATGCTTGCATTCGGGCTATGTTCAAACAGTGCTCGCACTTGTGTTGAGCCCAAACAGCGTGTCCCCAAACAGTGCTTGCACGTCGGCCTTCTGCCCAAGCAGTGCTTGCACGTTGGTTGTGCCCAAACAGCGTTTCCCCAAACGTGCTTGCACGCGTGCAGACCAATACACGTCCATTGATATTCCCCCTTTCCCCATTGTTTTCAAACCCAGTGTGGCACATTCTATGGTATGTGATGATGACAACAACCCCCATGACACACGTACAACTTTCTAACACAAATGGTCATCCGAATAGGTTCGAGAACAGGGTGCGTCAACGCACACGCAAATCTAACACCACCTGTGGGCGGCGTATGGCTTTTAAAAGGAGAAGAAACGCCATGACGGCAACGCAACATGCATGCGATGGGGCAGCACGCGCGATGAGGTCATGGTGCCTGTCCCTCGGACTTCGGCGGATCCACATTGCACGTGGCAGTGGATGGAGGCCCCGAACATAAGGGCGTGTCCCTCCTCCTCATCGTCCTATTCCTCGTCCTCCTCCTCCTCCTCCTCATCCTCTTTCTCCTCCTCCTCCTCCTTATCCTCCTCCTCCTCATCCGTATCCTTATTCTCCCCCTCCACCTCCTCCTGCTCAGCGTCCCCACCTCCTCCTCCCAACTATCTCCTGAGAATGGACGGCATGCTTCCTCACTCTCGGCTCAGTCAGTGGCTTCGCTTGACGCCGCGCACATTCGCAGATACTATGTGTCGGTTACTGGCCTCGGAGGAGGAGGAGGAGGAGGGGGAGGATGAGGAGGAGGAGGAGGAGGAGGAGGAGGAGGAGGAGGACGAGGAGGAGGAGGAGGAGGAAAATGAGGAGGAGGAGGGGGAGGAGGAGGAGGAGGCGGAAGAGGAGGAGGAGGAGGAGGAGAAGGAGGTGGAGGAGGAGAGGAGGAGGAGGAGGGGGAGCAGGAGGAGGAGGAGGGGGAGGGGGAGGGGGAGGGTTCATTTTATGTTGGTTTTATGTTCGAACGGTTTTTTTCTGGAAACTTGTTTTGTTATATGTACAACATCGAGCAATGCGTCGGGCACGATGTTGCTTCTTCCACGACGGTGCGACCAGCTGTGGTGCGCACTCGGCGCGCGTGAGCGCAACACTTCGAATGGCCGCCACTCGCGCATCCACGCCTTGCCCGCACGCCGCGCGCTATGGGGCGGCCAGGGCGGGACAGGGGCTGGGCAAGGACGACGAGGGAATGATATGGGGGGCGGCAAATAGCGCCCCTGTCCCGCCCTGGCCGCCCCATAGCGCGCGGCGCGCGGGCAAGGCATGGATGCGCGAGTGGTGGCCATTCGAAGCTTTGCGCTCACGCGCACCGAGTGCGCACCGCAGCTGGTCGCACCATCGTGGAAGAAGCAACATCGTGCCCGACGCAGTGCTCGATGCACATATAAAAAACGATTTTCCAGAAAAAACCGTTCGAAAATAAAACCAAAATAAAATGAAAATTCAAAGATTTTCAGGATCCCAGGGGTTAGTGGTATAGAAAGATCTCAAGGGCAGCGCGGATCCAAGAAATCCGCGCGGAGCGCCAAACGTCAATGTTTGTGGCGTTTTCTTTCTTCTCCTTCTTCTTCTTCGATCGACGCTGATCGACGCGAAGTCGACGCAGGATCGACGCCGATCGACGCTACGCGACGCCAAACCGGCGCTATCTCGTCGACTACTTAAGGCTGGTCGACACTAGGAGGGTACACAAGGCTCCCGTGATTTTCCCCGCACATGCACCAATACCCCGAGGACATGATGCCAACGTTAGAGCTTCGACTGTGGAGTCGGCAGACTGTTCTGCCGCGGGACCGTCATCGCCCCTCCCTCCCTGGTGAAACGAAGGCGCTGGCGCGGACGAGGGGGGAGCGGATGAAGGAGGAACACAAGGCCAGAGCCCTCCTAGATGGGGTCTGAGAAGATGGGGTCGGAGGATCGCGCCGCATTGCTGATGCATCGCCGACGCATCGTTGATACATCGGCGACGTCGACGACGCACCAGCGACGCCGGCGTAGACAAAATCGGTCTCCACATCGAGCCGCATCCACGATGCATCGGCGATGCGGCGCGATCCTCCGACCCCCATCCACTCCGAACCCACCTGGGCGACGATCAATAACGGGCCTTACGCGAGATAGCATGGCGACCTCACGCCGCAATCTACACGGGCCGCCGGCGCGGCACGCCGCATTGGAAGCGAGGGCGCCTGCGCACGACCTCACGCGAGCAGCTGACGCGCCAACGTCGGCGCAGACGACCCCGTGTGGTTCCGTCGCCCATCCTAGAAGAAGGAACAACGGCATAAACAGAAGCTTTGGGCGCTCCGCGCGGAATTCTTCGACCTGCGCTGGACCCCCCTCCCTTGCGCGCGGAGCGCGCCAGGGGCTGGCCGGAGGCGCCGCCCGGGGTTGGGTGCCCAGCGCGGATCCAAGAAATCCGCGCGCAACGCCAAGAGTTTCTGTTTCTGCCGCTTCTCCTCCTTCGACACCTGGGAGTCATTTTTGACCGTCCCGAGGCCCGGGCCCCCCGAGGCCAAATTAGCGAAACGCTTGCCGTCCTGATTTCTTTGCGACGCTACGGTGCCTGGACAAAAAATGTCAACGCCGACGGCGCGAAGATAATCAGGCATGATGGCAACGACAATTGCAATGCACATGTGGCTCGCCCACCTCACCCCCACAACCGAACGTGAAGTGTCCACATGTTGTCCCCCGCGCGTTGCCTCGCACCCAACCCCGTCAAAGTTGGGTTGGGGGGGGGTGGGAGGCTATGGACATCTCTTCGGCGCAATTCGATGTCGTATCATATTGGCGCGATGGGTGTGGACACTCCGTGTTCACCCCCTGCCTCATGTCTGGGGGAGGGCTCCCGTGACCTGCCACAGGAGCAGAGCAGCCCGCGGCGCCCGGAGCCGGCACGGCGTTCCCTCCCCTCCCCCCCCCCCCCGGCAGGGCAGAGCCCAGGCCTTGCGCATCCCGGCGAGCTGCACGACGTCGCCCGCTCGGAGGTCGTCCGCCCAGGGGTCCAGCTCCTGCTGGCGGGGCTCTCTCCTCCATCTCCTCCTCGTCCTCCTCCTCCTCGTCCTCCTCCTCCTCCTCCTCCTCCTCCTCGTCCTCCTCCTCCTAAATTCCATTCCTCCTCTTCATCATCCTTTTCCTCCTGCTTCCCCATCTCTCCTCCTCCTCCTCCTCCTCCTCCTCCTCCTCTCCTGCTCCTCCTTGCTTCTCCTCCTTTGTTACTCCTACTCTTCCTTCTCCTCCTCCTCCTCCTCCTCCTCCTCCTCCTCCTCCTCCTCCTTCCTCGTCCTCATTCCTCATCCTCCTTGCTCTTTGCTCCTCGCTCCACCCCTTCGCTGGGTCGTGGTATCGTCTCCTGGTGCCCGCGCCACCCTGCGCGAAGGGCACAGTGTCGAGGAGGCTCGTTTGGGCGTGGGGGCATGGGAACCTTCCGTTCTCGTGTGGGGCGGGGTTTCGATTTCCTCGCACGACTTCGCTCTTCAACAGTTGTGGCACTTTGCCCTCCTGTGGCTGCTTAGCTGGGCCGCCGTATCAGATTCGGCGCAGCGGGACTCGCAGTGTCAGAGCCTATGGCGATTCCAGAGCTAGTTCGTTTACCCAGCACCGGAGCCGCCACACCAATCGCGGGACGGTGGCCGCGAGTGATCAGGTGACTAGGGCCATGCTTTCCGCCCTCACACCGATTCACTGGGTGTGTTGCGACTTCTGTTGTCGTCATCCCGCACACTCCTGCACATACCGTGCTCCTGTTCCTGCTCCTGCTTCTGTTCCTCCACCTCCTTCCCAGATATTTCTCCTGAGGCAATTTTTTTCGCCAGATTCGCCCCCGAGGTCCACCTGATAGTGCGCCCCCCGTTTTGCCACGTCCGCGTCCTATGGGGGAGACTCCACCTGCTCGAAACAGGTGCCAATTACAGCCAAGAGCTACTCCAGGGGGGAGAGGAGGGGGTGCGAGGGCCCGCGCCGGTCGGCGAAACAACGAATAAGAAAACGATCACTGATGAGGGCGCGAACAGACTGGTCGAGACCATCGTCATGCGCGACGCAAGGTGCGAGGGGAACAATATCACTGACAGAAGAGAGCGAAACGAATCCTGCAGAAGCATACATGCACCCGCCACACTGGCGCAAAAGAGAGCAGGCACCAGTCCCGAAGAAGCACGTTACGAAAGCGGTCATGGATTTCAGAAAGCGCTTCGGGGCCGCATCGGTCTGGTCCGGGTCAATCCAGTCCTGGGTCAGTCAGGCCTTCCAGGATCCTGCAAGGTCCTGCACCCAAGCACAGTTCAATGCGAAGAATCCTGCAATATCCTGCAGGATCCTGATCCCAAGCCCGGATCAATGCGACCCCGGCCCTGCAGGATCCTGCAAGATCCGGCGCTCTGGCTGACCCCTGTTTGCACCGACCCCCGTCTCTCGATCCCCGAATCGGAGAGTCATGGGATTGCCAGGTCATGGGGTCATCTTCTCGCAACGGCGCCCTCCCCCGCTTAGCGCGCCAAAATTCCCGGTGCGAGAGGCCCCGTCACGAGTCAGTCCTGGATGGAGCAGGTAGGGCTACCGAGCGGATCCGTCCGGGCTTCCTTCCCGAGGGGTGCAGCGAGAAAGCAGGCGAAGACCAGACCGTGGGAACGTTTCTGCGTCGGCGGCTAGACAAGGTAACTGCGCTGGCGGAGAGCCGACTAGACGGGGGTGCCGTTGTAGCGAATTGTGCCTCCATGCACGAGGAGGGGACAGGGCAGAGGCAACGGCCGCAAGGGGGGGCGGGAGGGGAGCGAAGCCGCTCAGGGGGACGGGTCACGCCCTGAGCGCGAGGCGCGGCCGGCCAGCCGCGCCAAGGAGAGGTGCAGCGCAGATCCAATGGATCCGCTAGAAGCTCCAACAGTTTGTGCCTATGCCGTGCTTTCTGGGGAAGCCAAGAAGGTACCGATGTCGTTGCTCCCCGGACCTCTCCTGGGGTGTGTTCTGACCAGGATCCCGAGACGAATCCAACGGTGGCGACGAGGGCCTCCCAGGAGGCCCAAAAAGGGGGAAAACGGGAGGAGAGTAGCAGTATCAGATGCCTCCTAGATGGGGTCGGAGGATCGCGCCGCATCGTCGATACATCGGCGATGTATCGGCGATGCACCAGCGATGCATCGCCGACGTGGGCGATGCATCGGCGACGTCGACGCGAAGCAAATCGGGCTCCACATCGAGCCGCATCGGCGATGCATCGGCGATGCGGCGCGATCCTCCGACCCCATCTACTCGGACCCCATCTGGGAGGCCCAGAGTGTGCCCGCTCGGGGGTCGCGCACACCCCCTCTTCTGTGGCAACTCGCGGGAGCCTCCCACGCCATCTCCAGGGGTGGAAGAAACGCCAGGAACATCAACTTTTGGCGTTCCGCGCGGACTTCTGGGATCTACGTTGGACCCCCCTCCCTGGCGCGCGGAGCGCGCCAGGGGCGGCGCTGGAAGCGCCGCCGGGGGGGGGGGGCCAGCGCGGATCCAAGAAATCCGCTCGGAGCGCCAACATGTATGTTTATAGCGTTTTATCTTTTTCGAATATTTTGGCGGCTGCTCGGGAATTCACTGACCCGGGTCAATGCAAACCTGGGCCCAGTCAGGCCTTGCAGGATCTTGTAGGATCCTGCAGTCTCCTGCAAGGTCCTGCACGCGCACCAGGGCGCTGCAAGATCCTGCAAGATCCGGCGCTCTGGCTGACCCCCGTTTGCATTGCCCCCCGTCTCTTGAGCCCTGAGCTGCGAAGGCTGTGGCTACGCCGGGGTGTGGTTTCCGATCTGCGTCGTTAGAGTTTGGGGGGCACTACGTTGCCCTCGTCGGGCCTCCTCGGGGCGCGGCGGAAAACTCTGTCGAGGTCCTCGCCCGCCCCCCAGGGTGCGTGTTGCAAACCACACTCTTTGCAAACCACACCCTTCGGATTCGCCGAATCTTGCTGGCTCTTGCAAACCAACGCGAGCCGACGCGAATCGACGCTGAATGCAAATCGGCGCTGATCAACGCTATCGGATCTAAATGGGCGCCGCCTCATCGATTACGAGACGCTAGCGCACGCGAGAACACTCAGGCGCAATGCAAAAGCTTGAGTTGCTGCCGAACCCCATCACTCCCTCGAGGTAGACGAGGGGGACAAAACATCGGGGAACAAACGATGACACATACATCAACTTTCGGAGGACTGTGTGGATTTCTCGGATCGGCGCTGGACCCCCCTCCCTGGCGAGCGGAGCGCGCAAGGGGCGGCGCCGGAGGCCAGCTGCACGCAGCAGCTTTCACCGCCCACTGCAAGGGTCCACTGATGAGGCTGACTCGCCGCATGGGGCTGGAAAGCGCCGCCAGCGCAGCCCTGGAGCCTGCACACAAACACACTTCTTTTCCGTCGGCGGCGAGGCAGCGGCGATCCGCACCAGCGCGTCGCTAATCGGGACAGACGACAGGCGAATTGTCAAGCGTGCAAGAGGAAGGAAACAAGGAGAGGGCGGCCGCGCGGGGGAAGGGGAAGGGTCAAGCGCTCAGACGTGGAAGAGTTCTGCCTCGAGCGAGCCGGCGCGGCGGCCAGCCGGGGCAGCGGGGAGCCTACACACAGACGCTTTGAGCGTCGCGGCCTGGGCCCCGCCACAGGGCGCCCTCGAGCCACAGCCTGGCTGGACAGGCCCGGCGAAAGACAGCACAGGGCGGCAAGCAGAGGAGACCTCGCACGGTGCGGCAGCTGCCACGGCCGGCCAGAGTCAGGACGACGAGGGGCCCCACCCACACACGGACCACGGACAACCACTTGGACATCGCGGCCACGCGCGCGGTGGCGCGGCGTGGACAGCCGAGGGGAGCGAGCGCGCGGCCGGGCCACCTCCCGCGGCGGGGCGACCAGGGATCCGCCAACCGGGGATCGACCAGGTCACTCGCGCGGGGACGCGAGGGAGAGGGGGATGCAGGGGGGAGGGGGGGGGAGAGGTGAAGCGCAAAAAGACGCAGCATGAAGTGCAACGGCACATCAATATAGGGTGCAGAATCAACACGCACACAACACACACACACACTTTGTCCGCCAGCGGCGACGCGGCGAACTCCGCTCCAGCGAGAAGCCAGAAAGGGGCACTAACCAGCGAATTGGCCGGCGGGCAAAGAGAGGGGGGGGGGACGGCCGAGAGGAAGAAGGGACGCTCAGACGTCGAAGAGTTCGAAGATGAGCAGCCGGGGGGCAGCAGAAACCAGGCGCGCAGGGCCAGAGCGCGGTGGGCGGCCGTGGCAAACCACGGTGGCAAGGGTGGCGGGAGGGCAGCTGCCAGCAGCTGGAGCTGGCGGGCGGGCGCCACACAACACACACACACACACACATCCACGCACACACACACACAAACACACACACACACGAAAACTCGAGGTGAAACAAACACGCACGCTCGAAGCATTATTGTGCCTAGTATCGTCCGAGCCCCTGTAAAAGTCCGACCCCCCCTCTAGACAAAGAGCACTTGCAGCAGGGGGCGAGGAGGCAGGCAGCTGTCAAGCATAGCAACCAAGAGAACGTCCATACAGAGCATACGGTGCCGCTCGTGTTTCTACAACAATCGCATGTTCTCAGCTGACCCTTCGCAAGGATAAAGGACACATGTACAGCGGTTCCTGCGGAGCTTGCTCGACACGTTCGAGATTCTTGACCTGCGAGACCGCAGGAGCAGCAAGTCACCACTGCAACACCCCCGCTTGTCTCCAATGTGAGCGACAGCGGAAACATGCACTCATGCAGCGGGTTCGTGCAGCAAAAAGTCTGAACTGCTTCGAGCCCGTTTCTAAATCCCAGGCTGCGAAACATGTGCCGTTTGGCGCGGCTTGGCGTGCCCGCGTGCCGTGCCATGCCCACGCTGTAGAATGCAGAACTCAGACTGCCGCACCGTGCCTGGGCTGTCTGTAGAATGCGCAGCACGCGCCGTGCCAGTCTGTGCCCGCATGCTGTCCAATGCCTTGCCAAATGAACTTCGAGACTGCGGAAAATGTGCCGCGCCGTGACGTGCCGTGCCCGCAAGCCGTGCCGCGCCTCAAGTCGAGAACACACGAGAAACGCGCCCTAGCGTGCCGCGGCGAGCCGGTCCGCGCCCTGCCGTGCAATGCCACGCTCTGGCTCCAGAGTGCCCAAAGCTTGCCGTGCAAACGCCGGACCCGCGTGCCCTGCCGCGCACGAGTCTACGACGCGAGACCACGTCCGCGCCATGCCGTGCCGTGCCTGCGTGCCGTGCTGTGCCCGCGGGTGCGTGGTGGACGGAAGCCGCGTGCCGAGCCGTGCCGTGACGTGCCCGCGCGCGCGTGCCAGCGCGCCGTGGCGTGCCGTGCCGCGCTCTGTGAGCTGCGGCACTCGGCACCCGAAGCTGCCACGCCCCCGCGGAGGTCGGCTCACCGCGCGTGTGCTCCTGCAGCGGTTCTGCTTTGGGATTTCTGCGCACGGTGAAATCCCTCCACGCCAGCAGCCTCCCTCGAACGCGACCGCAGTTGTGTACACCACGACTGCCACTCGCGCGGCGACCGAGCCCCGTCTCTCCCCTCCCCTCTCCTCCTTCTGCCCGGCCGCTCCTGCGTGACGTTCTCGCCTCCTCTCCCATGCTTTGTTCTCGAACGGCGTAGAGATGTCAGGACGTGACCATCACGTTGGCCCGCGGCGTTGAAGTCCCGGGAAGGTCGTTTCGGCACGATTTCGTACCCTGAATCCAATTATCTTCAAATGGGCCGCTTCCCGCAATAAGCACACATTCTCGCAGAGACCTGCGGACAGCGCAATTGAAGGGGGGGTCTTGTAATATCGTTGATGCGTCTTGGGATTGCACTGGTCTTCCTCCTCTTCCTCCTCCTCCTCCTCAAGCTCCTCCTCCTTTGACGGAGCTCGTCGCCAAGGACAGCGGTCTCGCTTGCGCGCTGGCCGCAGGAGGGCCCGTTCCCGCTGCTCCGGGGGGCCCGTGCAGCGGTGCAGGTCCCTCCTGGAAGCCCCCGAAGCCGAGATGAGGTAGAGACGGAGATCAGATTAGATCAGACTCTCCATTGGGGCTTCAAGTGTGCTACCTGCAAGAGAATCATGAGGCCCGGGGGGCTTCCCCTCAATGGGGAGACTAACCTCGCATAGAGCTACCCCCGAACCTGTGCCCAATGACTTGCACGTCGCTCGATGGCCCGACCCCCACGACTACATGAGAAGGAGGGGAAAAGGGACGGAGAGCGAGAGAGAGAGAGAACGAAAGAGAGAGAGAGAGAGAGAGACACAGAAAGAGAGAGAGAGAGAGAGAGAGACAGCGGGCGCAGTAAACACCGTCATAGCATCGAGACGACAGAGGGCACTGCATATGTACTTAAACGCGCCACTCACAGACGAAGTGCTTCTGACATGAACGGAACGGACCTGATTCCCACCCGCACTCTCCGCAACAACAAATCGGTGAAGAAACTTGACTAAATCCGGCGATCTGGTGGAGGCAACTGTGCGTTTGGACCACAATCTGACCGGACAGCAAAATGGCAAGAAGTGGGCGTGGAAGGAGGAGCGGCTGCACCAAAGCAAACGCGCAGAATTCGGGAGAAGAAGGGGCTAGGACCTGAAGCAATCTATTACCGATGCCGTCCACGTGGATTTGCCACCTGGGTTGCTGGAGCAAAAGAAACAACCAACTCTTCGGATAACAAGATACCAAGCAGGCAACGACATGATTAGACCCGAAATAGAAAACCTTCGGACAGCCAGGCAACTAAGGAAGGATGTTGGGCGCCCCTTTTGATATGAGATGGTGTTGCGCGGGTTTTATCGATATACGACGTGTGTGCGTGCATATGTAGGGATACGTCCGTAAACATAGTTGTGCATCTATATAAATAGACGTGACAGCCAGCGTGGGTCCACACAGTGTGTGTGTTCCAGCTGCATATGGTGCTCAACCTGCGTGTAATGATATATGTGGTGTGCTCAACGCGGTGCACTGTGCGTTGTGCAACCTATGTTGTCCAATTGATGTGGTGCAAAGTGTGTGGCGCAATGTATGTACTGCAACAGTGGTTGCGCAATCTAGGTTATGCAATATATGTGGTACTACAAACTACGTGATGCAATCTATAAGGTGGGATCTACGCGGTGCAACTAGCCAACGCTCAACTTGAAGCTGTCCACTCCACTGCTCGCGCAAACGTCCCACCCACCCATCACCCACCTGCAAGTTGGTTTGCAAACCCCATGCGGCGGCGATTGCGATGGGTGCTTGGCGTTGGCTGGTGCATCTCTGCGGCCGCGACAGCCCGCGCATGCACGCGCGCGCATGCACTTTGGCGCGACCGGCGCAGCCGTGGTGGCGCTGACCGCTGGGCACATCCCACGAGGGCATTGCAGTGCGAATCGTCGACTTGGGCGGGCGTGGTATCATGGCAGCGCCGACAACGGTACACACGGTGATGATAATAACGATGTTGGTAGCGATGCTGACAGCGACGACCACGGCCAGTGACGGCGCGGATGCTGATCACGCCGACGACGATGACGGCGCCCTCGCGTCGGCGATGGGCGTTTTGGATAGAGCTCGACATGCGCGCGCGGCCGACACGCAAGGGTGGCCCGCGTGGTAATGTTTGACATGGACCGCGCCCCCCCACCCCCAGCACGCGCGCATGAGGCATGCGAATGATGTCGGCATGCGGCGCGAGAGGCCCGTTTGGCAGAATCCCATGAACAAGCCGAGACAAACTGCGGTTGTCTTAAGAATTCGCAAGAGCGCGAACGCACGCTTTTTTTGACAACTGGTGTTGCGATACCTTGTGTTGTTGTATGTGTTTTGGACATTCGGCGATTCAAAATCGCTGCGAAAACGACAGTTGTTGAAGGATTTCGGCATGCGCGAGCGACGACGCGCGCGTGTGCACTTCGTCCAGTGTGTTGCAAAGGATTCTCGCGAAGGCACGCGCGCAAGAGCGTTCGAACGATTTCGACATGCGCGCGCGAGGCCCGCTTGGTAGCAGTTTATGAACATGTTGAAAAACCAAGGGTTTCCTCAAGAATTCGGAAGAACACGCGCGCACGTTGTTTTGAAAATCCGTGTTGCGAAAACCTGTATGTTTTATAAGTTTGTTGGACACTCGATTTGCAATCTTTCCGACATCGTATGTGCTTGAAGGATTTCGGCATGCGCGCGCGACGACGCGCGCGTGGGCACTTCGTCTCGTTTTGCTCCCCCAAGGGATTCTTGAAAACTTATAGGTTTATAAACGAGTGCGCGCGCATAGTTCCCCACATGCTTCGTGGGGTTCTGGTTGTCTTCCCTGCCGCGCCGCACCCGCGTCTCACTTCACCTCACACCTCCTCTCTCATTCTTCCTCCCCTCACTCACACACACACACACTTGTCTCTTCCCCCCCTCGTCACAACACTGCTCAGCTCAGCTCAACTCACCTCAGCACAGCACAGCACAGCTCAGCTCAGCTCAGCACAGCACAGCTCGCCTCAGCTCAGCACAGCTCAGCACAGCCCAGCACGGCTCAACTCAGCACGGCACAACACAGCCCGTGGCACTTTCTCTACACCACAGGGGGTGCGCAGGAGTTGGTCTCTCAGCTCGGCCGCTATCCACGACACTGGCGCAAAGCCTAGCAGGCTCAATCACTCTCTCGACACCAAAGGGGGTGGGCAGGGGGTGGTCTCTCAGCTCGGCCGCTATCCACGACACTGGCGCAAAGCCTAGCAGGCGTGGCACTTTCTCGACACCGCAGGGGGTGCGCAGGGGGTGGTCTCTCACCGCGCCACGACACTGGCGCAAAGCCTAGCAGGCGTGGCACTTTCTCGACACCAAAGGGGGTGGGCAGGGGGTGGTCTCTCAGCTCGGCCGCTATCCACGACACTGGCGCAAAGCCTAGCAGGCGTGGCACTTTCTCGACACCACAGGGGGTGCGCAGGGGGTGGTCTCTCAGCTCGGCCGCTATCCACGACACTGGCGCAAAGCCTAGCAGGCGTGGCACTTTCTCGACACCACAGGGGGTGCGCAGGGGGTGGTCTCTCAGCTCGGCCGCTATCCACGACACTGGCGCAAAGCCTAGCAGGCGTGGCACTTTCTCGACACCACAGGGGGTGCGCAGGGGGTGGTCTCTCACTATCCACGACACTGGCGCAAAGCCTAGCAGGCGTGGCACTTTCTCGACACCAAAGGGGGTGGGCAGGGGGTGGTCTCTCAGCTCGGCCGCTATCCACGACACTGGCGCAAAGCCTAGCAGGCGTGGCACTTTCTCGACACCACAGGGGGTGCGCAGGGGGTGGTCTCTCAGCTCGGCCGCTATCCACGACACTGGCGCAAAGCCTAGCAGGCGTGGCACTTTCTCGACACCACAGGGGGTGCGCAGGGGGTGGTCTCTCAGCTCGGCCGCTATCCACGACACTCTGGCGCGCCACACAGGGGTGCGCAGGGGGTGGTCTCTCAGCTCGGTCGCTATCCACGACACTGTCGCAAAGCCTAGCAGGCGTGGCACTTTCTCGACACCACAGGGGGTGCGCAGGGGGTGGTCTCTCAGCTCGGCCGCTATCCACGACACTGGCGCAAAGCCTAGCAGGCGTGGCACTTTCTCGACACCAAGGGGGTGGCAGGGGGTGGTCTCTCAGCTCGGCCGCTATCCACGACACTGGCGCAAAAGGCTAGCAGGCGTGGCACTTTCTCGACACCACAGGGGGTGCGCAGGGGGTGGTCTCTCAGCTCGGCCGCTATCCACGACACTGGCGCAAAGGCTAGCAGGCGTGGCACTTTCTCGACACCACAGGGGGTGCGCAGGGGGTGGTCTCTCAGCTCGGCCGCTATCCACGACATTGGCGCAAAGCCTAGTAGGCGTGGCACTTTCTCGACACCACACCACCATGCGGACATAAGATTTAAATTAAGTATGTGGGGTTCCTCGGTAGCGTAATTATTTTTTTGGCATGGGGACCGAGGGGGGGTCGATACCGGCCTGGCTAGGGTAGAATGAATTCACAAGTAGGATGGACATGGGGTCAGAATCAAATGTGTTTTACATTCGTTCCCGGTGAGTGGATAACTCCGGGGGGGGGGAGGATGGTAGAACCTTTTTTTGTAGAAACGAAGATCGACGTGGTGCATTCTACATGGGGCTGGTCAACCAGCAAAATAACAACTAACCCACTTTTGGCACAATCGTCCCACACACCCACCGGCTACATGGTTTGCAACACCCATGCGGCGGCGAACGCGGTGAATGCTTGGCGCTGGCTGGCGCATCGCTGCGGCCGCGCTAGCGCGTGCAGGCTCGCGCGTGGACCGGAGCCTGGCGCGCCTGCGTTGGCGCTGACCGCGTCTCGCAGGCTGCGCTGGCGCGCGGGCATTTCAATGAGGGCCGGTGACTCAGGAGGGCGCGGTATCATGGAGATGTCGGCAAAAGGCGGATATGATGATGATAGTAGCGATGCTGGTAGCGATGATGACGATGACGGCGGCAAAGCCAATGACGGTGCCGATGCTAGCCACGCCGATGGCAATGATTGTGTCCACATGGTGGTGGTGGATGTGTTGGAAAGATGTTCGACATGCGCGGGCGGCCGACGCGCGATGGGCCCGCGTGGTGTTATTTGACAGGGGTCGTGTCCCCCCCCCCGCAAGCGTGCAAGGGCGGTCGCATGATTTCGTCATGCGCGCAAGGGAAAGCTCGCGTGGTCCGAATTGGCGTAACTGTTGGACAAAACCTAAGTGTCACCCGGCTTAGCAAAAACGCGCGCGCATTCGGTTTGAAACACCATGTTGCCAGACCACTGGTGGTTTATGTGCCGCCGGGAACCTCAATCGTAAAAAAAGAAACTGAAACATAAGTTTTCGAAGGGTTCTGACATGGGCGCGCGACGCCGCGCGCGCGTGGACGTTGCCAAATTCAGTTGCAAGTGTCTTGTGGCAGTGAGTGAAAAGTGTGATGAACGCGTGTGCGCATGCTTTTTTGACAAGGATGTGGGGGGTGGCGATAGGGGGCCTTGCTGGGATGGTACAGCATCATTTTGAAACGAACGATTGGACACAGTTCTTTATATGTAAACTGCAATGGCAATGTCCAAAATGGGGGGGGGGAACGATAAACCGGGGAGAGGGGGGAGGGGGGGGAGTCCATATTGCATTTGGAAAAGACAGTCTACGTTGTGTCATCTATGCGGAGACGGGGGGGCGACGAAGCGGCGGCAGCGAACACGGAACCGCCAGACCGCCAGCCATAGGCCTGGACGACGGGCGGCGACGAAGCGGCGACGGGGCGGCGAGGGCGACGGCCAGGCCGCCAGCCATGCCCACTTCCACAGAAAAGAAACAAGATCCCCGGAGTGTATGCACTTTTGAAGGACCACGCATGTAAAATCACATACCTATATGTGTATGTATGTGCGTATATCTGTATATGTAGACGCACCCATCAATGTCACGTTTGTCGATCCTTCTGCCACGCATTCCTCCTCTTCCTCCTCTTATTCATGTCCGTTTTCTTCATATCTCTCTCTATATATATATACATATAGATTTCACACATACATATATAGATACACACCTATATGCTTGTTTTCTTATTTCTCTCTCTCTCTCTATCTCTCCATCCTTCCCCAGAGACTGCCAATTGGAAACGCTGCGTCT